GGACCGCCTTTGTATATATGCAGCCTGTTGTTGACTGAAATGCAAGACTGTGCATGTAGGTATTCCATAAGCTGGGGAGAAGAGATGCGTAGTACTCGTTGTCATTTCCTTCAAGTTGCATCTTCCCTGTCCTCCATAACTAGAATTCACATCCACATTACAGCTTACAAGTGTTCCCCTCCACACATCTGCTGCCTCCTGCTGGCCGAGTTGCGACACCGCCTTGTCCGTGGTGTGCTTGGCCGCTCGGCTGACATTCATAAAAACACCAGGAGGCTAAGCTGCTAATTAGGCACCCAGAGAGGAGGGCAACGTCAAGCGATTAATTTTGTTGGGGCTTGACATCATTTCCTGCTCAATTCAGGGTAATTTGCTATGCATCGCATAAGCTGCAGTTCAGCTCATTAAAGGGAAATGTGTTTATCCGGCTGCTTTTAAAAGCTCGCATAATGTATGTATGCGCGTGTTTATCCAAATATTCGTAATGAGTTGGACCTGGAGCTCCAGCACAAGCTCCTGAAGGCATTTACAGAGTCTTGTTATTGGCGCTCAGGGCATTGATCCTGGGTTCCCCAATTTGCTACATGACCGGCACATCCCCGCATGCCGGTTCCACAAACTCCTCACCCTACGTGAGAAAGCGACATACATTCATTCATTTTGCTCGGATACATTGATCGGAAAGGCTTATGAGCCTGCCTTCGGACAGGGTGGATATTATCACGAGGAGTCTTAGTCAATTCTGGCTTTTCCGTGGGGTGAGGTGAATAATGAACCGCTGAACAGGACCTCATGCCAGCGGGACACACACTCAAATGCTCATGGGACTTTTTTTTACACAAAAATGTTCTGTGGTAGAAAGAAAAATGATTAGTTCAGAGAGATAACCAATCAGATTGTTGAGGAGGTGGGTCAGAGCAACTAGAGGAGGTGGGACCATTACATCTGATTGGTCGGCCCCGCCTCCTCTAGTTGCTCGGGCCCACCTAGAGGAATTTGAATAATTTTTTGTTCTGCCCTCAGAACAATTTGTGTAAGTAGAACTCCCACAAGCCACTCTAATGCATGCCTGCATGGGTACCTACAGAGACTATTGTGTATTGGTTGTGCCTATATGCATAAACATCCGAGAAAAAGCCTTGATGTGCAGATACAGACAATCGTCTGCACACTGACTGTAAATAAACAAGGTCAACTGGCTGCATTGTTGATTGTCATCTTTCTGCAATTATGTAGTTTTTGTAATTCAAGTAGTTTTTGGAAATTCAGTAATTATTGTTCTGTATGGTGACCAGGCATGAAGGTTAGTGCTGGAGAACATTCACAACAGAGCTGCTTTAGATGACATCATATGGTCATGGAGAGAAATGTGTGCCTTTTCTGTTATGCTTTTTAAAATGAAAATGTATGGATGTTGGGTGGGCCAGACACCTGCCCACAGCGTAGTAAACACCCGTCGCTCAGTTTGTCACTTGGCTGCCACTGGCGTCGCTTTCTCAGAACTGCCTGCCAGGAGGCAGTCATCTTTACCACCGATGGCGGAATCGCTAAGCAGCGCAGGGCCTGACATGTTCATGAGGAGAATCTGGCAGCCTTCTGAGAACTGACAGCCCTTTTCCTGCTGGTAGAGCGTGTGCATGTGCAGGAGGCTCCCCCACACTCGGTGTCGGGAGGCGGCGGCACCTCGCAGGCCTGCTGCGCTTTCACAACCAGCCTTCAGCCGCACAGTGGCTTCCATCGCTGATTTTACTGGGGGCACCCCCTACTCACCAGACGAAAATACCGCTTGACCTTGTTAAGTTCAATAAAGTTAAATTATATTATAAAGTTATATTTTAAAATGTGGCTTAAGAACATAAGAACATAAGAAATTTACAAACGAGAGGAGGCCATTCGGCCCATCAAGCTCGTTTGGGGAGAACTTAGCTAATAGCTCAGAGTTGTTAAAATCTTATCTAGCTCTGATTTAAAGGAACCCATGGTTTTAGCTTCCACTACAATAGCAGGAAGACTATTCCATACTCTGACTACACGCTGTGTAAAGAAGTGCTTCCTCAATTTTGTTTTAAAATGTTCTCCCGCTAATTTCCACTTATGGCCACGAGTTCTAGTATTTAGACTAATATTGAAATAGTCATTTGGCTGAACAGCATCCAGACCCGTTAGAATCTTATAGACCTGAATCATATCCCCCCTTAGTCTCCTTTGCTCAAGGCTAAACAGATTCAGTTCCGCTAACCTCTCCTCGTAAGACATTCCTCTAAGACCAGGAATCATTCTCGTAGCTCTTCGTTGCACCTTTTCTAAGGCAGCAATGTCCTTCTTGAGGTATGGTGACCAAACCTGCACACAGTATTCTAGGCTTGTGTCATATCTATGTATAAGAATGTGAATAGTTAGGCTTTCTCATCTGGCACCCCCTGGGACAAAAACCTAGAGTCTCCTAAGTTTGCCTCCTCATGGTGGCATAGTCACAGCTAGGGTGGAAAGTTCGGGTCCAGAAAGAACAAATCCAGACCAAGATTTTGTTTCAACCCATCTTCTGAGAACTCTTTGACTGAATCTTTATACTGAACTAGTTGGTTAAACAAAATTCTGGTTTGGACTTGTACTGTCTGGACCTGAACTTTCCACCTCTGATTGCCAGAACAGATGGAGGCATGACGTCTGTTCAGAAGTCAGAGTACTGTGTCTTCGGTGGGGGGGGGGAGTAATCCTGCTCCACCCCCACCTCCATGTCTCTTTACTCATCTAGCAGGACTGTAATTCAAAGGAGTGCCCCAGAGTGTTACCACAGCGAGCGGGTCAGAACGGGGCCACACCAGCGCCCTGTGATACCACAGCGAGCGGGTCAGAACGGGGCCACACCAGCGCCCTGTGATACCACAGCGAGCGGGTCAGAACGGGGCCACACCAGCGCCCTGTGATACCACAGCGAGCGGGTCAGAACGGGGCCACACCAGCGCCCTGTGATACCAACTCTTAGCGACGCCCCGGCCCCCTTCCAGGGGCCTCGCTGCAGCTGCTTTGGGGCCCAGGGTAAGATGGGCTCCACAGCAAGGAGCCAATAAGCTCCTCCTAGCATGAGTTTCTCATTAGGCAGCTGAATTCCTGTCCATCAGCTGGAGGTGATTTATCAGTGGAGTCACCGGATCACAGGAAGGCGGAGCGGCGGGCGTTGGCCGTCTCCTGCTTGACTTTGTTTCAATCAGGTTAGGGACCTTATTGTTTGTTATTGTTTAATGCAGGAAATGACATCTGAAAATATTCTCTGCAGATCCTGTTCCTGGCTCTTCAGCACTGTGGAACAATTTATAATTTTCATATTATCCAATATGGCTCCTACTGTACTATGCGAGGTTCTTTCTTCATGCATTCCAGTCACTGCCTTTCTTTCAGACTGAGGTCTGTAAGAGGTGCCCGGTGTGTGGAGGGCCCAGGCATCACCGTGATGTTCTGAGAGCCGTGTGGATCTGCAGACTGGGGGAACCTCCGGAGCTGCAGCTGGCCAGCTTTGCTGTGCAGTTGGTGCAGGGGGTGTAAAATACACCTCAGGTTCACTTCTGGTTAAATCATTACCATTTACGGGAAGTGCTGGGCTGCCTGTGGTTTTATAAACTCCCCAATGTGGCTTTGATGTTTAGGTCAGGTGGTGAGCTTTTTTTTCCACCCAAAGGTCTTTCTCAAACTTGGGCGGAGTGTCGACTCTTTAGACCAAATGTGGCCCCTTTTTTTTTAACCAGCAAACAGGCCTCATCTGGTCCCACTAAAAGCATTGTGCTGTTTTTCACTTGGAAACCAAATGATGTGTCTGGTGCTTTCTGCGCGCAAATCAGCGGGCTGCCCGCTTCAGTGCAGCTGGCCCCGCAGTGGACGCAGTGGAGGAGGGCTCCAGCGCCACCTCTCCAGTTACGTCATGGAGTGGCTCAAACAGAAGGAGGCGAGTGAGAGCACGCGGAAAGGCCGATCCTTTTAAATCACCTTATAACTCCATTAGGCTTGGACGGCGGGCTAGCAGAAACCCCTGTTCCTGGAAGAGGTATATTAATGTATGCTGTAGGTGTTTTTCAGAGTACAGGGGAGAAACACGATACTGCAGGGCCAGCAGGGTAAAGCTGCCCAGGACACCTTTATTGATATTACCAGAAAAATGAGCAATTGAAGAGGGGGGGGGGGGGGGCATAGCCTTTCAGCGGATGCACGTAAATATATATATTTTTTTTTCTATAAATACCTGTTGTGGATTCGTTGCGTTTGATATTCAGGGCAGGCTTTTCTTTCACGAAGCCATTTGTTTTTCCCTGCTCTGATGAAATTAAAATCAAAGCCAGTGTAATATTACTCAACCTTTAAATGTCTCACGAACGAGGAGAAGGCATATCTAATGCTGTCAGATTTCAGGGGTTGGGGAGGAATTACAGCATACCCTAAGGTGAGAAGATGCCCCCCTGCGCCCCCTAGCTGTCAGGTCCGATCCTCTGCGTGTAGCCCTGTCTGTCTGTGGTGGATGCTGCTTAGGAATGGCGTGACGTGCAACATGTTGTGTCATCCACTGCTTGCTTTCTTACACTGTAGTGCAGGATTTGACCCCCCTCCACCCACCCAGATCAATATTTGGCATTCCTTTAATGAAAGAGGCTGGTGTTTGGAGTTTCCTCTTTAAGAGGGAGACATGTGGCCTCTCTGGGGTGAAGGGGGACCATGGTCCCTTCCATGTGGGTCCCATGGACCCTGCAAACCACCCCGAGAGACCCCTGATTGCCCCGTTCGGTATTATTTAGGCCAGAGAAGGCAGCTATAGTGGAATTTGTGTAAAGTGAGGCATGTCAGGGAAAGAAAAAGGTTATGTGTTAAACAACAGGGCTGTGATTGGCCATTGATTTGTTCATTTGCAAGCTGTGCGAGTGAAAGTGAGCCAGTGGTGTCCCGCTGTCCCCTCCGTCAGTCAATCTCACCCTCGCTCGCTCTCTTTCTCTCTCCCCTCTGCTCCCCGCCACCAGCATCTGCAGCAGCACGAGAGTGCAGTGGAGGGCGACACCGGCTACTACCACTGTGCGCTGTGCAACTACTCCACCAAGGCCAAGCTGAACCTCATCCAGCACGTGCGTTCCATGAAGCACCAGCGCTGCGAGAGCCTGCACAAGCTGCAGCGGCTGCAGAAGGGCCTGCCCGAGGAAGAGGATGAGCTGGGCACCATCTTCACCATCGTGAAGTGCCCCTCCGCAGACACAGGTAAGAGCAAAGCCAATCACGCAGACGCTTTGCCTCCACAGGCCAGTTACCGCAGGGCGTGTCCATGGACCTCATTGCCACAACCAGTCCTGTCTGGTCTAGGGCTGTGGATGGAGCCTCAGTTATATTAACTACCTTCTGTTTGCTTTAAACTAGTAACATCTTAAAAACAAAGAGCAAATGCAGAGAAATCAGAAATGTTAATTATCCTTCTGGGCTGTTTCTTGTTTTTATTTAGATTCTTTTTATTCTAGAGGAAAACCTCACTAGCTCGTCTTGATGGGGCAGCCGTTTATTACACTGTGTGTGGCGTTTAAAGGTGCGAGCTCCAGACAGCTGGGCCTGAGAAACCAGCCAAGGCCCCAGAGCAGGCTCCCCTCTGACCCCGACACACGGTGCCACAAACTCCTTTGTCTCAATGATGAAAGTAAGAGCGCAGTTTGTTTTCCTGTTATCCCTGCGGTTCACCCGGTGTTCACCCCGAGCACAGCGGGTCACGTGTCCCCAGGACATGGCTGCTGATTGGTCAACCTTCTGATAATGTTCTTCATGCCCTGGAGTGAGAGAGATCCACAGATATGGCTCGCTGTGTGGTTGTGTGGTCCTGCTTCCTGGTGGAGTTTCACCGTGTCGGGTGCAAGTGGGAGGTACCAGCCACTGAACCTGCTCCCACAGCTCAGGACACCCCGAGTGCAATCACTTGTTTTGCTCCTCAGTACATTGTCCCAAAAGTAAACATGCATGCAGCAGGGAAGACCTTTTAACCAATGAATTGTGGGTTACTGCTCTTCACAAAACAGGTGGGGCTACTTTTCCAATCGTTTTGTCAATCAAAGGTGCAGCTTTTGAGGTATTCCCTGGGAAGCTGTTGGGCAGGATTCCAGTGCCCCTGCGATTCCGGTCTGTAGACCCCAATTCATCATGGCTACCAAGCCCTGCCATTTCATAATAAAGTGCAACCTTTGGGCCGCTGCTCAAGCAAACTGGGGGAAACGGCATCTGATAAAGAAGCTTGCCGGTTGTCTACGGGCGAGCGTGAAAGGGGGAGCTGCGGTCCGTTAACGCGTCGTCTCCACGGGGCCTAATCACTTTGACTTCTGCCCCCTGCCTGGGATCCCTGACAAAAAGCCGCTGTGCACCAGGGGGCCCCCACTCACACTGGCCTATTGTGCGGTGATGTAAAAAAAAACACAGCCTGTTCCAGGGCGGCTGGGATAATGAAGCTAGGGGCTGGAGAATTACGCAAACGCCAGTCACCGATCTGACGTAAATCATTAGCGAATGCATTTAGCCTAGTAATTAAGGACAATTAAGCTTTCTGCTCGCTGGACTCCAAATATGTTAATGACTGTAGTGCAGCAAACAAATGAATGTACGGAAGTGTGGGTCGAACTCACTTAGGCTAACAGAGCATCAGGGATATCAGTGTGGATTACCAGCAAACCCGTTTACTCGCTCTCTTTTCACCCTGATGCATCTATTTATTTCCACTCTCACCCCAACGTGCATCTTAATGTCTCTGTTTACATGTAGCTTCACATCGAGCCTGACGGCAAAAGTCAGACTGAATTTGTTGAACCTGCCCACACACACACAGACACACAGACACAAGCATGCACACACACACACACATTTGTACTCATATCTCTGTGGGGACCATCCTTTCATTTCTATGGGCAATACCCCAACTATGACCACCCTAACCCCTACCCAGCCCTAACCTTAACCATAAGTAAACTAACAAAATACAGGACTTTTGACATTTATAATTTTTTTTTTATTTCAGCCACAGATTTTTATAAAATTGAGTTTCCCCTCATGGGGACCGAATAAATAGTCCCCATAACGTTAAAATAGCAGGTTTTTATCACGCTGTGTGATAATACACAACCTACAGCAGGGCTGGGTACACACTCCTAGTGTTGAATTAAATAAAGCGGTATCCATCTGTTAATGGTAGCTATTAACCTGTGTTACACACATACTCCATGTATAATTAGTGTTTATTGTCATACCTCTTCATTGTCATCTCGTGTTTAATTCTTTGAGTGAGAAAAGGGGAATTAGGAATTAGACCTGAACTGAAGTTTGAAGGCCAAGTTGAGCTGTCTACAAGGTCTCAGCTCAGAGAGCAAACTTGTTAACGTCTTGCATTTCAAGATACACCAAGCCGCAAAGGTCACAGTCACATCTCATCATATCCTTATATCAGGTCTAACGTTAGAATGTGGCGTAGCCAAATTACGCAGCAGTCGGATTATTTAAAAGGAGCTCTGTGACTCTTATTTGTGTCCCTGAAGCATGTTGATTAAATTTGCTTGATAATCATCCTACTTCCTCATCACCATGGGAAAAAAAATATAGATCTTTATTGCAGAGGTTCGTTCTGGTCTCTTCATCGCCAACGTACACAGCTCCTGGCAGTACCCCCACCCCACTCTGTTCCATATCCAGTTGCTAAAAGATTACAGAAAATCCACTATGTGTTAAATCACGATTTGTCCCGGATGACTGGGTCAACCTCGCGTTTGGGAATAGTGCATTTCCCACTTAGGTGAGAAGAGTTTTGCACGGTGGCTATTTTCCGACTAGTTGAGGGGTGAGGCTTGTGACAAAAATGAAGTGTGACTTTCAGCAGTTATTTATGAAAGAATTGCTATGAATTGTAAACATCAAATGTCACGCATGCACACATTTTTGTTAAATCTCCTCCCCCATTTCTCACCCAATTGGAAATGCCTAGTTAATCACATCATAACCCCCCCCCCACGCACACACACACACGCGCACACACACACAAACACACACCTACTCAATTCAGGGCACCCATACCAGCTTGGGGGGGGGGGGTTGAAGACCTGCTGCTTTCAACTTTGGGAGTCGGCTTCGGCGAGGGTGTAGGTGAAGGACATCGCAGTGACGTCACCGGTCTCTTGGACCAGCTATACCCAGGGACAGTAAGGGGGGCAGGGGGGGTCAAACACAAAGCCAGGCTCAGTGGAAAAATCAGCAGGGCTGGGTGCAATTCCACGCGTTAACCCTCACCATGGCACCCGAGGACAGTGTGATGAATTTCCTATCCAATTAGACCAATGTGGCGATAAAAGGGACTCGTTGTTTTAAGATCCTGCCCCCCCTCCCCCCACCACAAAAAAAATGTGCTGCCCAAGCATGTTTCTCTTTAACTTTTCATTCCTCAACTCTCCCAGGGAAAACAAAAGAGGCTTCCAGGAAGCCCTGGCCGGCCATAGCGCTGTATTCCCGCAGATCTGGCCTGAGAGCCCCGTGTATGAAAGCAAACACAGGCCGCTGCTGGCTGTAATACATCAGGCCGCAGGGCAGGGCACCATCGAAAGAAGCCCACCCTGCTTCGAGAGCAGGTGCCACCGCTCTGACAGGAGCTGGATGGATCAGTCACATTTAGCAGCATACGTGTATGGGGGGGGGGCAGAGGCTATTTAAAGGTGAGTCACTCTGGAAGGCCAGGGGCTTCAGGAGAGTGAGGAGGGCAGGCACTCTGGCTCAGCCTCTGCGATAGATATACACCAGGCCTGGGACTTTGGCTCGGTTGCCAGCCAGGGAGGAGACTGGCGTCTGTGAAAAGGGCTCTGGCCCGGCATCCTGCGTATAAACCAGGGCCAACCGGTGGGGAGCGTTAGCGCCGAGGCGGCAGCAGTGCTAGGAATGCCCATGTCGTCCATGCTAGCTAGTGAACAGAATGAGAAAGAGCATATTATACTCCTCGCTCGCTCGCTCGCCCGCCCACTAGCTCACCCGCCCCCGCACCACGTGTATCTGCCCACTGAAATGCACACAGCTCTATATATTATTTTAATATGGTTTGTTATTGCACCGGTGCCCACCTGGGATCCAGGAGCACACGTGGGTGGGGGGGTTGGGGAGGGGGGGGTGCTTTATCAGTGTGCCATCCCATAATCCTTAGCCAGGGGGCAGGGGGACTAAGAGGAAATTGTTTGACTTGCGTGCAGTTCTAGAAGCAGAGTTAAGCAGTGTGGCAGGAATTTCATAAATATATTACTTTCAAAATATTAAAAATAGTCTTTTATTAAAAAGTTGAAATGGCAGCCTTATGGAATTCCTTGTGGATTCATATTGCCGTGCCCTCACGCAAAAAGGCATTTTTTTTTTTTGGACTGATGCTTTATAAATTCCTCTTCCAGCTTATGCTGTCTTGGTAAATTGAGCAGAAAGCTTCCACTTACGTCCTGGGATAGTCACTGTATTAAACTCACACTCTGACACCAATTCCCACCTGGCTTTTTAATGCATCCCACAGGCACAAAAAACTGCATGTCAGTCATTGCGGGAGCAGATCAGTTTGTACACCATGCCTGGTACAGGAAACAAAAGGTGCTGTATTACCAGCAGGGGGTGGGCTGCGAGTGGGCAAGCTCGGGTTCGAGCAGAGGCGGCCGCACAGGAGTTGGTGTACGGAATAGGACTGACATTGAGGCCCATTTGTTCTATAAGTTTATGCAGTTTGCTGTGAAAGTTGGCATGAACATGCAATTGGCCCTGCTACGCAAGCCACCCCCCCCCACACACACTGTCAACCACTGCGCGCACACAGGGAGTGCATTATGATATTGGTTTCCTTCTCCTGCCCGTTACAGGACGCCCCGTTGAAAGCCGATCCTGGAGACGGACAGCTTGTCAGGAATTTTCTCATTTGTACTTCCCAAACGTGCTAATGAGATCTATTTAGGGGCCGGGAAGCCGTAATGGTAAATTTAAAAGCAGACAGCTCAGTGCCTCTGCCCCCAAATGGTCCAAGATGTCAACAGAAAGAAACAGAGGAACTACGACAACAGTTTTGTAGACTTGGTGGTCCGGGGAACCAGATCAGCACGGCCTTCAGCAGCGCTTCACCAATAAGCCAATTCGGAAATGTAAAGCGGCAGCAATTAACTGTGAAAAGATGTGGGTGATGTTTGCTGATAGATGAATTTCCTACCATCTGCACCCAAAGCCTTTTTGAA